TACACCAACGCAAGCTCCCTCTCCTCTCCTCTCCTCTCCTCTCGTCTGCTTGTGTCGCTAACACCTTTTCTTTCTCCAATCTCGCTTCCCTCCCCGCTGAATCTGATAGATGGATGGATGGATCTTGCTTCTTGCAGATGATTACTTACGCGCTGGCGGAGCTGGGAGGCGCCTCCGACCGCTCCGCCATCGCCGGATTCATCGCCGCGCGCTTCACCGGCCTCCCCGTCAGCCACGACGCGCTCCTCTCCGCCCACCTCCGCCGCCTCGTCACCCAGGGCGTCCTCTGCACCTCCGGATTATTCTCCTACTTCTTCTCCTCCGACCACCACCACCACTCGCCCACCACTAGGAGGCCACACAGTCCCGATCTCGATTCCGATGATCAGTCTGGGTTCCACTTCCAGAGTAGCAGTGAGGAGGAGGAGGACGACGAAGATGATGCTGCCTACACTCCTCTGCCTGTGCCTGTTCCTGTTCATGTTCTGGGAGAGAAGCGAGGCCGGGGGCGCCCGCGGAAGAAGGTTGTGGTTATGCTGTCTGCTCACACCACCACTGCTGCAGCAACGCCTGAACCCTGTCTTGCAAAGGGAGAGCAAACACAGCATTCTGCTGCTGCTAGGTCTGTGCTCTCTCTATCTGGGGATGCAGCTTACTCGGTGACTAAGCGAGGCCGTGGGAGACCAAGGAAGCTACAGCCGTCCCCCTCCCTGGGAGGCGGCGATACGTCAACTGGTGGCATCATCAAGATCAAGAGAGGGCGTGGGAGGCCGAGAAAGGAGGATCAACAATCACAGGAAGCAGCAACAAAGCCTCTTCCAACTACAACCGCGTCGTCAACTGTTGGCATCATCAAGATCAACAAGAGAGGGCGTGGGAGGCCGAGAAAGGAGGAGAAACAATCACAGGAAGCAACAAATCCTCTTCCCACTCCAACCGCGTCGTCAACCGGTGGCATCATCAAGATCAAGAGAGGGCGTGGGAGGCCGAGAAAGGAGGACCAACAATCACAGGAAGCAACAATGCCTCCTCCAACTCCACCAGCGTCAAGGCGGGGGATTAAGGTAGGGTGTGGAAGACCAATGCTAGCTCCTACAGGGTCTCCTGGGAGTGGGACTGGGAGGCCACTAATGATAGACAAGCACCCACCAGAAACTGCAAGGTGCTCTGTTGATGCTACGTCGTCAGTAATCAAGAGACCGCGCGGGAGGCCAAGAATGTACAGACTATCAGCAGAAGAAACTGGAGATGCAACACCTGCTCCTCCTCAAACTGGATATTCGATGGGAGTCAAGAGAGCTCATGGTTGGCCAATTAAGGAGAACCCAGCAGCAGCAGCAGCAATGTCTGGTGAAACTGGAGATGTTGCATCGGCCGGAATCAAGATAGGGGGCGTGCAACCGGAAGTGGAGAAGCCAACAGCAGCAATGTCTACTCAAGCCGGGGATGTTGGGTCAACGGGAATCAAGAGAGGGGGTGAGCAACTAGAAGTGGAAATGCCAGCAGCAGCAATGTCTGCTCAAGCTGGAGATGCAACACCTGCTGAATTAACTGGAGCTGCAAGGCTCATGGAAGCTGGAGATGCAAGGCCTGCTGAATTAACTGGAGCTGCAAGGTTCATGGAAGCTGGAGATGCAACGCCTGCTGAATTAACTGGAGCTGCAAGGTTCATGGAAGCTGGAGATGCAAGGCCTGCTGAATTAACTGGAGCTGCAAGGTTCACGGAAGCTGGAGATGCAAGGCCTGCTGAATTAACTGGAGGTGCTGCGTCGACGGGGATCAAGAGAGGGCGTGGGAGGCCAAGAAAGGACAAGAC